TGCACCAGAGCAGGTGCTGGCTCAGCGGGGTGGACGCGTGATGCTCGTCGAGGGCCTGGGCCACAATGTCGTGATGTGATGTCTGCACCATACGGCCCTCAAGTCCCAGGGCTCTCTGACCGGGCATGTGGACGCATCATTAAGGCGTCAACAGCCTAGGCGGAATGCATCTTGTGCTTCGGCTCGTTGACTGGCGCTCATCAAGTACCCCTCTTCAGGTTTATAGCTGCATGATGCCTGTTGGGCTTGCAGCACACCGGGCTAGGATTGTAGTGATTTGGCCCTTTTTGGACCACAGCTAGCGCAACTTATTAGTTAGTTAGCAGGTTGCTGGCCAGTTTCATCCTGTGAAACCCAATGACAGATTCGTAGGCCTCGGTCCTTACCTGTCAAATCAGAAACACACCAGCGGCCCGCTGCATCCTGGCAGCCTTCGATGTACATACTTAGCTCACTGACAATAAGTGAAGAAAGAGAAGGAATCCCGAAAGGAGGAAGTTTGGTTTAGGAATGGCTTGATCCAGATGGATGTCTCGTGCTTGTGTGAGAGGTTGCCGAAAGCGTTCAGCGCCAAGACCTTTTAGGCTTAGTGCCTCCGGGAGAAACAAAATCCATTTACCGACGTGTGATGTTCCACCGCCTTACCTTAACCCGATTGCTGCCTGAGCAATCGGCCCTATCGTGACTCCTCAACCCGATCATCCCCCTCAGATCAGCCTCACATCTCATATCGATATCCTTCGCTACGATGAATCACGACATTTCTGAGCTGATGCTTTCCTCGTTTTCGGGCAACGAGAATGATGAATTCGGCAAGGATAAAGATGTGAGATTGCCTCTCTTGCTTCCGAAAGTCATGGAAGGCCGCCTGATCAAGTCGACGAGCCTCCTTCTGTGCCGACTACCACCCGAGATCTTGGGCGACATTATGGACCTCATTGCAGACGACAAAGCCGCCCTCTCTGCTCTCGCCCTAGTGAATAGCGACTGCAGACAGTTGGCTCGCTCCTGCCAATTTGCCGATGTCTGCTTTGATTACAGCCCAAATTCGACGCTATTGTTGTTCCAGCTCATGAAGGAGGGCATCACCAGGCTCGGCCAGGACGACCCAAGCAACACCACTCGCCCGCCATACATTGGACCTTGCATTCGCCGAGTTGTGGTCAAGCCCCGCCCAGAGTGGGTCGCTCAAGCGCACGGCGATCTCCACGATGCCGTTTTTGGCGTTGGCGCTGGCGATCTCAGTCCGGAGCACCGCAACGAATTGTCCAAGAAAGCGACTGATCAGTACATTGCGACATACCGCACTCCCGTCCAAGTCGTCATGAAATTGGCAATGCCCCACCTAGAGGCCCTGTTGTGGCATGATCGACTGTGTCTCGATGGTGCCTTCTTTAGGACCGTCACGAACCTGCCTATTCGGCACCTCAGGCTGGCCGGAGTTCACATTGGGGAGATCTATCGCCTTGAGCCACCCGCTACACCGCTTGTTGTGCCGTTGGAGTCTCTCTCTCTAAGGGTACGGCTCTGCAACAACAAACGGTCTCATAGGAGCAACCTAGCCGCTGATACCGATGCCGACGCCGATGCCGATACCTGGGGGGGGAGAAGCTTGTCACCCTTTTTGGAAACCCTCCTTCGGCGCTGCAGTACGACTCTTAGGCGTCTGACCTTGAGCTACGAGGCATTTACGGGAGATCGATCGCTTTCATTCGGCCATGAAGATGTGTTCTTCCCCCGCCTCCGGTACCTTGACATCTCCGGCAATATGAGCAATCCCGATGCACGAGTCTGGTCTTCGCTGTTTTCTGCACCGCTGAGACACCTCTGTGTTTCCTCTACGAATTCGCCAGCCTTCAGACAGGCTTTATCAGTCTGCCAGCCCTTCCGTGACCTCGAGACGCTTGTTATACCATATCTCAATGGCAAGGACACGGGAACGGTACAGCCGATGATCGACTTCATTTCAGGTCACCCTCATGTTCGCAAACTCTCCATCGGGAGAAGCACGCCTCAACTCTTGGACTCTCACCTTGTCCCACTTCTCTCTGATGGCAGATGGTCGAACCTCAGCTCCCTTTCACTGGTATGGAGCGAGCCGGGAACTGTGGTGGAAACACAACCACACATCGCCACCATCTCCGCAGCTTCCTTGGCTGCTGTTGGCAGCATTGAATCGCTGGAACAGCTATGCCTGAGCGCCGGTCAGCAATTTGGCTGGCGTCACCAGTGGTTGATAGACCATAATGCGATGCGACTGTGTCTTCGAGGACTGGCAAAACTTAAAAGGCTCGCCTTCTCACGAGATACATACGTGCTTCCAGACGGTGCGTCCGGCCCTGGGGTGGAGGGGTATTACGAGCGTCGATGGGTGACATCAGCGGAGCGCAATGACGCCCTTGAACGACCAGAATTGGACGGAGTTGGAGATGTTGAGCATATGGCAGAAGGAGAAGGCAATAACGACGGCCCGGAGGTCGATAGCACCGAGGTTTGGGAACGTGCGCATCGCAACCGCATGCTCCGAAAGGCGGAAGAGTATGTCGCCGTGTTCCCCCATTTAGAATGGGTCTACTGCGGTCAGTGGCCTATGGAGATTCGAAACAAGCCGACGTCGGAGGGTACAACTCGCGTTGCGATGCCTCTGGCCAAGGCAAGAGACTCTTGCTGGACGATCCTGGAACGAATGTTTGCTATGGGGAAGGATGATCAGTAAATGTATTCGGTCGGTGGATTTCGTATTGGGCATGGCGTTTCTCTGCTACGTGTTTTGCGTGCCTCGTGTCACTACTGCGATCGGTGCTTCGATTCGCGTTTTTGGAATCCTTGGCCGGCCAGCCCCCTCTCAATGTCTGATTAAGCCGGCCTCTTGGGCGTCGAACTGCTCTCGAATCTACGTTTTAAGTGCTCTTCTTAGCCTTAGCCTGTCCTTTTCGGCTTTCCTCGCTGCTTTTACATCTGGACTATGACATTGGAATAACGTAGGTACTTGACAAGCGTCAAGCAGCTGAACCAGATGCTTCTGCAACCTCCTGGCAAGTGAGAGCATTATGGCCAGGCTTGCCGCACACACCGCAGCACCGAACCCTCGCACGACCCCCCCTGTACCACTCCCACCCGGCTGCATTTCCTGCACTCCCTCCCCACCCGCAGCCTTCTAATCTAATAGATCGTGTGTCGGAGAGCAGGCATGGCGGTAACCTTGGTGATGGTGGTTTGTTTGTTTGTTGGTTGGTTGGTTGTGGGAGGTGGCAGAAAGGTGGGCGGTCTGCAGGTGGTCCAGGCGGTGGTGGCCACCGCCCGACAGGAGGTTGGCACGCCCACACTTACGCCTTCGTTCCCATATCGTCCGGCACCGAGATCTTGACCTTGGGCAGGCACCTCTGCTTCTAGTTATGCCTGACAATAATTCAGATTACCTTGCAGCTCTCCATGCTCTGTGGGACGCGAAACGTAGTACATAGCAGTGGGTTAGAAAAGTCAATTTTAGAGGCAGAGACGACTTAACTACCTGATTAAGATAAGCTTGTAAGCCCCTACCTGCCATGCTGATTCCCAGGACTTTGTCAAGCAAAATATAATACACTAGACCTCAGCCACATCTCTGAGAGCATAGCCCATGCTTATGCACCATCTCTATTGTAGGTATATTACATGTGCCCTACTTGGAAATTAGAAGATTATATAGACAATTAGTTGCAGTCAACTTACCACAGAACTTGCTGGTCAACTCTGTCGCTATGTCGATGTAACCCAGGGCGGCCGCCACCGTAAGTGGTGTATTCGACAAAACGCCAGGCTGTGGGTGTATGCGTCCGGCCAGCACTGTATAGCAGAGAAATCCCTCGATTTTGGCATTGACATCGGTAATGTCCTTCTGGCCTCGCACGACGGCTGTGGCGAGTGGATATGTATATCCCGTAAAATCTTCAAGGTCGCCGGTCTCAATCCTAGCATTGACGTCCGCACCAGCTGCAATGAACTTGGACACTGCGGCCCAGCCTGATGCAGCAGATAAAACCAACGGGGTGGGGTTGGGCGACCCCTCTCGTGTAGAGGACTTGCCACAACGAGAAATAGTGAAATTTAGCGATCCGGAGTAGAGAGCATGGGCCGTCTTGGTCGACAAGCTCTGCAATGTGCAAGAGGAGCTCGGAGGGTAGTGATGCAAGGTCTCGCCGCATGTCGGGCATACAGCTCGGTTTAAGTGAATATATCACAGTAGCGTCCAAGGAAAAACCAACACCACCTAACCCCCACCTTGTCACGAGGACAGCCGTGACTGTGAGCATATGAGGCTGCCCACAGCCGCAGAGGCATATCTTTTTGCAGCCTGCAAAACGACCTCTCACACGATGCACTGCCTCATCACAGCTGACTTTTCTGCCGGCAGAAAGATGGGTACCCATTCTGCCGGCAGAAAAGTTACGTATTGAAGTGAAGACCTACTATATAGTACGTACCCTTTCTGCCATTAAGATCAACCGTGTGTGCGCAGGATTCCGTTGACCGATGAAGGCGTCCAAGGCCATCGAAAGCATTGCCGGGTACTCGGTTGGGCACTCTTCCGTTTCGGGGCAGCTCCGGGGAGAGGTCCCCTAAAGGGCCTAGCGGAGTGATCATGGGTAAACTCGTAACCCCCTGGGTATGACTCCAAGCCGGGCCGACTTCCGCAAACCGGCTCCGACCACAGCTTCAAGCGCATTCTGGAGCAAACCTCGGACCACACGGCCTCGAGCTCGGCCACTCGTTGGTCTCTCCGTTCGGCGAGTCTAGCGTAGAAGGCGAGCCAAGTTTCCCATTCAGCTCGCACCCGATCTGCCGCAACACGATAAATTGCTAGCAGCGCTGAATGAACGGTCGCTTGGTGCCGACACTGACAATGACCATGCTCAGTCCCTTGGTGCCTTTGATGTGGTCGACTGGGAGGCCCTTGGCCTGGGCGAGCTCCCGGAGCTTCAAAGGTGAGACTCCTGCCTGCTTTCCTTAACAAGCGCAGAGATCTGGTGGCACAGTGGTAGCGCGCCCACCCTTCTGGTGGGAGGTCATGGGTTCGACTCCCATCCAGGTCCCTAGTGGATTGCAAGAACTCGTGCCCCGAGTTCTTGTAGTCCACTCTTCCTTTTTTTTTTGCAAGCGCTGACGTCGTCCTAGCGCCTCTTGGGCCGGCCCTTCCTCCGGGGTCAACTTGTCTCCGTGGGTGGGGAATCCGTCTTTCCTGGTCGATCGGGGTTCTTCTGGTAGAACTCCTTAAGCTTTGTTAAGTAGTGGAGGTTTATAGCTAGCTGCTATAAGTTGTCTTCTAGCCTGAAATCTAGCGATGCGGCAGAAGCCGAGTTCTTCTCGAAAGGCATCTGGACAACGCTGAAGGCCTCACAACTTGGTGTTGCTACACTCAGGGTGCGCTTGAGTAACGTCCTGCGTGACCAAGTTTTGAAACAGCTCCCTGGCGTTCTCGAAGACGTCACGGCAGGGGTGGACGACTGCAAAGACATCTTGGCCAGGCTAGGAACAGCCAGAGCTACCGTCACAGAGCAGCGGCGCTACCTCCTCAAGGTCAGTGCCGGATTCTCCAACCTAGCCAGAGCGGCTATCGATGGGGTGTACACGGACGCTTCTTCAGAGGGTCGTACGACAGGCGCCTTTGAGCTGTCATGCAAAACACCCTGGCGGATTTCGCCAAAGACATGCGCGAGAGGGGTCACGCAAGGACTATCACGGAGCGCCCGGCTGTCAACGACAAGAGTGGTCGCCCGGATGCTGACGAAGATGGAGACACACCCCATTCCATCTCTCGACCGACGTACATCGAAGAAGTTAGGGAGCTCATGAGGGAGAGTCGAGGCCGCGAGCTCCCTGGCACGTACAACCCAATGATCGTGGCCGAGCTCTTCAGTAAGCAGTGCAAACCGTGGCAGCGCATGATGCGATGTCTCTTGATCGGGAACTGAATCTTTACCGGGCAGTGTCTGTTGGCGGCGCGGCGGCGTCACCAACGGGCCTGGCCTGCTGTAATGCGTGCTTGGGGACGAGACGAGACGAGCGGCCCTCCCGGCTCCACTTTCTGCGGCGGCTTGAAGAGTGTTTGGAGTGCTTCTTAAGGAGGTCGCTGCGCGAGAAGGCGTTGTGACATATAGCGCACATGTACGGCCGTTCGCTAGTGTCTGCGAGAACCTCGTCAGGTCACGCCGCCTTACCGAGCAACAAAAGAGAGGGGGCGGGACTTACGTCTGAGGAGGTGGCGCTTGAGGTGTTTTGCACGCAGGTAAGTCTTAGTACAATGCGGGCAAGGGAACCTCCAGTCGGCATCCGTCCGGGGGATCCACTTCACTTCCTGGGCCTTTTTCGTACTCGGTGTAACGGACGTGTCTAGAGCACGGCCCTGCGAGTCCGCCGTATGTCAGAACTAATAAATCGTCTAAAGGAGTAGTATAAGCATTATCGTAGAGACCTAGACTAGTAATATAAACAAGAAGTACCAGTCGAGGTCCTAGTCCCCTTTGTGTTTCCTGAGCAAGCGTTGTAATATCGATGTCTGCTTGTCTGTTTTGTCCCATGGCACAAGGATATTCATCCTTTGGCAGAAGTTTCTCACTTGGTTCCTCCCCTCTATCTCTCCGAGCACCTTGTAAAAGTCTAAAGCTAAAAGAATTGATACACCTTTCTTTCTAAACTTCACAGTACACATCGTTGGCACATCTTTCAAGCCACGGTTCCTAGGATCGTCCCACAAGGCCCATCCGTCAGAGACACAGAGCAGTTCCACAAAGTCGTCGTGGTCTTCATATGACCAGATGTCCACAGATAAATCTTTATGACCCCGCACCCTGACATATTCAATTATCTCCCCATAATTCAGTTCACACGATCGTACGTATTTTTGATATGGAATGCCATCCCTCGAGTTCCTCATAGTTTCTAGCAGAACCATATATTCACTTGATTCTTTACCCATCGGGCGTACACCTACAATGGTCCATTCGCCCTCCCATAGTGTTGCGCATTTTAATGTATACCATGGGTAGTCCCAGGCTCGCTTCTTCATTATACCCGTTGACATTACAGTTGTAATGCAGAACTCGCTGTCGCTGCATCCGGAAAAGGCACCCCTCCCAATCGGGTATGGCGTTGCGCCAGAGCCGCGTCCTCGCACGGCCCAGCAGCGCCCACCGCATAAATAGAGCCCCTCCTCTCCAACGTCCCTTTCTTGTACTCTCGACTTTTCTCCCTCCCTCATCCCCTTTGCTCGGCCCCTGCCCCCTCGTCTGCAGCCCGCTAGCCCAATGTCGCCCGCGCTCCGATACCCATTTCGCCAGGCTGGACGCCTCGTCCTTACCGTCTTTGGTGTCCCCTAGCCGCCCGCCGTCGCCTCGCCAATCGAGACATTCTCAGCGTCTACAGTGCATTTCGTCGATTGCAACTTTAGGCTCGACTCTCGTCTTGACCTCGAGTTTCCTCTCCCTTTGGGACCACCCGCTTGGTCTCTCCCTGTCAGCGACACCTCACCTCATCCAACCCTCTCCACTCTGCCTCCTGAGGTGCCTCCTTTCGCCCATAGGATCAGGATCCATGCCTGCCTGGTAGGTCCCCCGTCCCCTCGTTCCCCCGTGCAATCTGCAAGACCCGCGTATCCTGACCAGTCACAAAAATGCCGCAGGTAATGATTTCACCAGGTGCAGAGACACTGCTTGGTGGACTCCTCGCTTGGTGGACTCAGGGGCGTCTCGGTGTGCAGATCGCAGAACCCTTTTGGTCACAATCGGACCGACTGCCAGCGGCGCAGCTGTGGCGAAGCATGCTGGTGACCAGCCTGACCCGACTGCGACCTCTTTCCGGGCCACAGGCAGGCCGCGGCAAACAGGGATGGCAAGGCCGAAAGGATGCGGATGCGGCCGCCGAAACGATGACGTGGCTTTGTTAGTGCCGCTGCCTTCGCTTCACCGACGGCGAGGCAGATTGGGTCTGCGAAGGAGCTGGTTGGCGGGAACGACGGCACGTGTGAGACTGCTTGGGGAGATTCTGCCTTGCCCTGGGCAGCGCCAGAAACAGGACTACATGACGGAGGCGCATGCAGGAGACGACACGCCAACCCCCGCTTCAGCTGAGCAGCTCTCGGAAACCCCTGGCGACATTATGGACTACGCGGCCTCAGGGCAAGGGCCTTGATTCGCAGCGATAGGATGTACTGCGACGCCTCCCTTTTCCCGGGCCCCCTCCTCTCTCTCTCGGCATTTGCATGATTGGCGGAGACACAAGGGACCGGTGAATCGATATCGTCTCTCCCCGTGCCGAGGCGTTTCACCACCGAGCACATTTTTCTTGCGAGCCGGGGTTGGGAGGCTGGCGAGGATGGAGAGGGAGCTGGAGGTAGGGTCCGACTCCTTGCCAATTCAGCGATCGGGTCCGCCGTTCCTCGACACAGATATATTTCGCTCGTTTCCCGACACCCCAGGAATGCGAAGATGACCAACTTGCACACCAAACACTTCTAGGAACCATTCTTCCCAAACCTTTGACATATTCTGCAATTCACCAACGCGCAGTGTCACAAGCAGCGAGATGGCAAGAGTCTGCCTCGACAAGCAGGTCTTTTACAAACCCCCTGTGGCAACAGGCCCTAGCTCTGCGAATCGCGGGCTTCTCGTTCGGAAGCGGGGCCTTTCGTCTGCAGATATATTTGCTGCTCCATTCTTTCCTCCGCCGCTGCCGTTACAGCAGGATGCGCACGATCCTCGACATGGTGGTGCCGGGAATTCGGAAGACACTGCGATCCTGATCCCTGGCGATAGCGAGTCCGATGGCCGATCCGACATGCCTCTCGCGTCGCTTGTGGAGCTCGTCACAGCTGCATCCAAGGAGCTTAAATCCAGCGGTGTTGCTGGTGCAGGTATGTGCCTAAATCTCGCATCCCCGGGCAGGCGAATGCGCTGACATGCCTACGCAGGCGAAAGTCTCGACACTGTTCCCGACGACGTGTCAGAGCCTTCGGTCACCAGTAGGCCCGGCCGAGACGACGAGTCTGCGGTCGAGCAGCAACAGAGAGGCAGGCTAGGGTGTTCTCCAGAGCCGTTGTCTGGCTCTCCTGAGACTCTGCATACGACGCGGACCCAACCAATTCCGCCTGGCTGTGCTGCGTTCCAGACAGGGCAGCCATCTGCTCTTGACAACACTCTGCGCGATACCACCGTTCCAGAGACAACAGACGCTACTTCCCTTGCTGAACACGGGGCCACACGCCATAGCCATGGAATGCAACACGGCCCCCAGCCGCCCGAAAAGCCATACGGAACGACGTCGAATCACGACGGTTCTATATGCCTTGACAACGAGGAGTGGGATAGGCGGTTCCCATTTTCATCCCAGGCACTCCAGCGGAGACGTGCCGCCAAGAGAGCATACAACCCTACAGAACGCGATCAGTCGCAGTCTATGTTGGACCCTCATTGTCAGTCTCAGGGTCCACGCCTGGCCGCCTCTGGTCTCGAGTTTGCAACACAGCAGCGGGCCGATGGCCACTGCCCCTCTCAGCACTGTGATCGCCACAGCGACAGCAGTCAGACGGGCAACTCAGAGCACCATCATCTGGTTCCAGATGGCAGAGAAGAGCAGAATGGAATGTGTCCTGCCGCGCTGCCGCAAGTGGTGGACAGCCGGGCACCCACACCTACACTGCGGGACGAGAGAACTAGCAACCTCGAACCGGCGGATGCCGAGCCACGCCTTCCGCCCCAGAGCCCATGCAGCACCGCCTCCAGTCATGGGGTTGATCCACAACAGAGGTCCGGCAGCTGCCGCCTCTCTCAACATCGTGACCACCGCGACGACGGCGTTCAGACAAGCGACCCAGAATACCGCCATCCTCTCGTTCTAGACGATAGAGGAGAGCAGGATAAAGAGAGTTCTGTCGTGCCGCCGCAAGCGCAGGAGAGTCGGGTAGGCATGCCAAGTTTGTCAGGCGATGAGAGCGGCAACGAACGTGACTTCGCCAATATCGAGTCATCCATGCAGCCGTCCGCCCAACACAACATCGGTCGTCGTCGACGTCGACTTCGTTGCGATGCTGACGACGAGG